TACGATACGTGATGCTATAACTGTAACGAAACTTGACGTTTTATGGGAACATAGCTGCAGATAATTGTATAGCTCTTTAATGGATTGTTTAAAAGATAAAGATACACTATCTATCAATCTATTTATCTGTACAAATACCAAATCTCCTAACGTTATCTTATTTAATGAAAGTTAGAATCGTTTTATAACTTAGATAAAGTAATCATAAACATTTTTATGAGTCAGATCAAATTCGATGAAGCGGAAAATCTCTCTTCTATCAGAATGAAGAATTTTAAAATTGCAAAATGCAACAAAAATAATAAATCCTAAATAAAATCTCATTGATTAGACTTTGGAAAAAGAATGTTCTAAATTATTTTTCACAGAAATTATTAATTTTCTAATACTAAAATTTTTATAGAACATAGTTAATTCGGGTAATTCGTTTCTTAAAATAAAAATTTAACGAAATTTTAGTTTCGACGGGTTGAGTTGTAGTTGAATTTTGAAAGATAACAACGGGTTACGATAATACCTAAAAAGGAAAAATAGTTTTTTATCAACCTTCAAATGCATAAAAGGATATTATTTAAATTCAGTGTCAGAGGCTCTGACAATGTCGACCAAGATGTAGTTGAAGAAGGTGCTTATTTTATACGTTGGCCTAGCAGGAAACAAGTTACACGACTTATGTAATACCGTGCAACTAGCAAAGACAGCCTACAGTCACTGGGTCATTGTATATTTTATAATTTAATATTTTAACGAACTAATGTTAACTAACTAACACTTCATATTTTTTTTTTAGAGAAAAGTCAAGTTTTTCGCACGTCAAAAAAAAACCTTTTTTTATTTTTAATTTGTATGATATTTACAACTGTATAAAAAAAAATACATCTAGTAAATTCGCACATGGATATAATGGCATGAAATACATGTTGAGAAACTACCCATTGGTAGCACTCTAATAATATGTCTATATTAGGAGATCACGTGGCCATCTTTTTTCTTTTTTTCAGACGCCTCGGAGGGTTATTAGGAATTGAATAGGAAGCAAGGTTAGAAACAAGAGGGTTAGGATGGTTATGAAGTTTATTATGGAAGGACAGATATCTGGATTGGGCCAAATCTGATACATAAGGAATATTAAGGTCATAGTGGATGATTTTATTTGTAACAAAGTAAGGAGCATTGAGGATTTTACAAAGGTTTTTGGATTGTAAAGATTGGATACGAGAGGAATTTAAAGGTTTGGTGGAACCCCATAGGTCAACTCCGTAAGTCCAAACAGGCCTTATTATAGTCATGTAAATGAGTCTTTTGTAATTAATTGGAAGGTTAGAGCGTTTGTCTATTATTCAGTATGAGGATTCCAAGTTAGACGTTTGTCCAGGTGGAGCCCTAGTTAAAAAAAAAAACCAAAAAAATCTTAAATACGAATATTTATATCGATCGAAAAATTGAACTTTTTAAACGCTTATTAAATTTTACCAATCACAAAATATATTAATAACTTTACTTTAGAACGGCTTCACCGATTCACACGAAAATTGTCAGAAATTTATGGCTTTATATGGAACACGAAATGGTAAAAAAATAAACTTCCATAAACAAATTAAAACCAGAGATATTAAATAAAAATTATTGGAAAAGTTTTCTTAATTTATAATATAAAAGGAAGAAAATCTAAAAGTTATCGATGTCGGTTGGAAGATCAGTAATTCAGCTTCGCAACGGTTTTACTGATGTTGAATTGGGAGAAAATTCTGATAAGTTATGAATACTTTAACTATGGACCAGGAAAAAAAAACCTCTGAGGAAATCAAGTATTAAATTTTGCAATTTTTAATTTCTATAAAAATTCGTATATAAGAGTTTTAAAGGACACTAAAAAGAAATCTAACTTGCTTTTTTGTAACAAAACAATTTGTGGCCTACTTTACTCGAAGCACCTTTTAATACTTGTAATTTATGAAACATTATAACTCATCAAATACAATAGACAATATTTTTCTTTCATTTCGAATAAAAAATTTAAAAAAAAAATCGATTGATATATATATATATATATATATATATATATATATATATATATATCCTAAAAATCTGGGGAAAGCGAAGACAAAAATGAATAACATAAATTTAATTTGAAGTTATATAGTTTTTTTTTCTCTGCTCCTAGGGTCCAATGGCACGAACGTCGGTATGTATGTTTATATTTTTCGATGTAGTATCACCAAAAAAAAAAATTTTGAATTTAGTGACACTCTGATTGTAACCTTCCCCTGTAAGTGTCAAATAGTTTGCACTATATACAATTGTAAGACAAAAAAGAATAGTTATTTTAAAACTTTACGAATGAAATATGAAAAAAAAATGTATTATTTTTGTAAGAAGTATGGATTATATATTTATAGCTTACCGCGCCAAAATTTCTGTAATGAAAAAAAAAAAGGAAAAGATTTAGATCTAAAATATATAACTTGTAAAATTCGTATTTGAAATAAAAAACAATAAAAAAATGTCTTATTTAACCTCGAACATTTAGGATAAATGATTCTAGGAGTAATATCACATTCATACAATTGCAGTATGCCAAAGTTTATTTTTCTAACCCTTTTTAAAATAATTTTTCTAAAATTATAAGTTCGAGAATGATTATCTTGATTCCTTGGGTAGCAATTATGTTTTGGTTATTCTCACTCAATGATATGATAATAAAAAAGAAGAGGAAACCTTATAAATTATTAAAATTACATTATAATATCTTCAAAGGAAAAACCACAGTATTAATATATTCAGATGTTATTCAATTTTTTGCATTGAACAGTAAAGGTCGTTTCAGTAGTACCTTCCGCCTTAGGTCATGTTTTTTTTTACAATATAATAAACAAAACAAATTATTTAAAAAAACAAAGTAATTTTGTAACGCCTTCACGGTCCCATGAGTTTCGTTGGCAAGAAATTGTAACGTCAAGAATTATATGGAGTTACCTTTGATAAGTGGGATTGTACTTAAATCAATAAAAAAAAACAAAAAAAAAAATAACAGCGCATTTCTAAAAAATAAAATTATAACACACAGGTATATTTTAAAACATATCTTCTCAGAGATATAGAATCGCTAAATACTTGTAACAAAAGTGTTTAAAATTTGGACCATCAAACGAAACAGAAATTTGAGTCTGGGGCAAGTTAAACTTGTCAAACTAACTTCCTATGCCCCTCAGAAAAAAATATTCGAAATTCAATGTTTTATTTTCTCAAAACAAACAAAAATATTAGAATATAATATAAAGACAGCTTGACTATTAAGTCAAGGCAGGGAACAAAATAAGTTGAAGTAACTCTATTCAAGTTTTAAAAAGTCTAAGAACACATCTATGTAGTTTATATACTCTTTAAGACATTTTATGATTATTGCTTTAGAATTAAAATTAATGTAACTTCTTGACGTCTGATTTTTGAATACTGTTTATTTATTTCAGAATATAAATGATGTGAAACTGACTTAAGACAGAAACAATGTATCTCCAAAATAACAATATCATCTAGTGACATAATAATTTTTGGACATTCTGATCTAATGGAAAATTTTTTCTCCAATAGATACTCTAATTTAATACTCTGTTTTCTTATGGAGTATTAAAATAGAAAACATTAGTTATATAAAACACCGTCTATTTAATAATAATCATAACGAGAATTTAGTATCTAAAAAAAATATACTATTTCTAAGAAATTCAAGAACAGAATACAATTCAAATTAAATTTCCGAATACAAGCAGATTTAGCTATTACTTCCCACATGTTCACTGCCCAGCACATTTTACAGGCATTATATTTCCAAGGTACGTTCAGACATTTCGCAAACTATGAGAAACACAAATGGATAAATCTGTTGTTTTCCCAAGCTTTTTCTAATGATTTTGCTATCGGTTTTTCAAGAGAAGTCAAAGGGACTTTGGGTAACCCCTAGTGTAGCTTTTATACATTTGTTTGCTGTTTGGGTTGCTTGAGAGATGTTATTGAAATTAATAGTTTATGGTACATATACATGTATATGTATATGTACATGTATATAAATGCATTTAAATCCACGATCTGTTTTAACGAATATTGACTCTTTAAAATTATAATAGGTTAGGGCTAATGCGATTTCTAGCTTGTTTTTCTGGAAACACACAGATGTCTGAACACCCTGTTTTTTGTTTTTGTTTGCTTGTGATTCTTGTATGTCTACAGCTGGCTTTAACAACTAGGTACGATTGATAGGCCCCATCATATGGATTCGATCTTTTAATTGAAAAGTAAAACGAATATTAGTGATAATTAAAATTTTTAGTCTATCAGAACACTAAAATAAAATTGGCTACATCTGTTATAAGACTATTGAAATTATATCAATGTAAGGAATATATATTAAAAATACATCATTTAGGCTTTTATTCTTAGCAATAATTCAATGTTTTTCCACAATGTCGCTAATCAAATTTATTCACTTGACCTCTTTTTTGTTAAATGTACTTTGATTAAATTTAACATTTTTACACGGTTTCCCAAATTTCCTCCAACTTTAGGCAGTTTTTGAAACAAAAACAAATAAAGAAAAATACGTTTGCGTTTCCGTAAGCGTGAAAGCATATTTTGATGCATATATACTTGATGCATTTTGCATATATAATGCATTTTGATAAAATATATACTAGATCATTTTATCACCAATTTATAATTTTGGTCAACGACTTTTTTTAACTTTCCGCACGAATGCAAAGGGAAAAACAAATTACTGTGTTCAAATAATCTTAGTTGTTTGGAATCGAAGTTGTTTATAAAATGCAGAAGGAGTAAAAAGAGAAAAGAGTTAGTATCCATAAATGTCCCAATAAAATTCAAATAAACAAGGTTATATGATAGATAAGACGAGATTAAAATGGTGTAATTTTATTAATGCTTAATATTATGAACTTCGCAAACAGATAAACCATTAGGTATGAATTGAAAAATCTATGACTCACCGGTTTTAAGGTGGTGGACTGACTAATCGGTGTATAACCTCCTCCATCTTTGACTCTGTATTCATTAGATGGTGGAGGAAAAGTGGCTAGGCCGTTAGGTCTCTCTGTGGTGGCGGCATCGTATCGTACTGTGCTGCCCTCAGATCTCTTGATGTCCAGAGGATAATCCGATATTATAAGTTTTATACTTTTGTTAGCTATTGGAGTCCGGGAGGCCGGAGTAGCATGTTTTTCGGGAATGACGAAGGTAGATGGCTCTGCCTGGTGGTCGGCGAGGCCTGGTTCAAGATGGTGCAAAAGACCTTCGAGGGCTTGATTGAGATGTCCCGGTACAACTTGATGTCCCGAATAGTCGAACTCCTGAGGGGTGACCAGCTTCGGGGGAGGAACATCCTTCTTGACGGGATATCTTGGAGTCGTCCCTTCGTCCTGAAGGCTGGAGGCGAGGAGGCCGAGACTGTATTGCGGATCCTCCTGAGCGACGACGAACACCCAGAGGAGCGAGGAGACGCAGACCGCAGAAGACACCATGCCACTACTGACGAGGCGGCCCCACTACTGGCGCGGCTCGGACCCAGTCAGCTGCGGGCGAGGTCACGCGTGAACGCTAGCCTCGCTCTGGCACGTTTTCTCACTGTTTGTTGTTAGCGCTGGCAGAAGGTCGCATGCTGTTTTGAACATGTACCGTACAGGTGTGGTGACCAAATAGGGATCAGATATTTTTCGAGGAATAATTAAAACCGAAACGTGATAAATTTGTTAACATTTCTACGTTACAGTTTAAAATCGGCATGTTTTCTTAACTGTTTTGCAGACATTTTTAAAGAATTATCAGCTGTGAAATGATAAACAATTTACAAAATTTGTAATGCATAATGCATAATGCGTTAAGGCAGTTCACAAACTATGGGAAACACAAATGTCTAAATCGGTTGTCACTTCTCTATTTAAAGTGTTTTGTTTATTGTTTGTGCTCTTTCTATCGATTGTTCATTTTTAAAGTGAAATCAAAGGCAATTCGGATAAGCGCTAGTGTTGCTTTAATTATTTATACATTTTTTTTTCATTGAACATGCTCTATTTATTTTTGGTTTGGCTAGGGAAACATTCCTAACCTTCACCATGTTTCTTCTTCTGGAAATACAGAAATATGCAAACAATGTTTTTTTTTTATTGATTTATGTTTCTAGTGTTATTAAAATATCTAAGCCAGATTTTTAAAAATATTAGTGCTCAGTGAATGATATATTGTTTTAATTATACTGCACGAATAATAATTGAATAGTACTGCTTCACTACAACCCATGAAGGGTTTTGGGTTCAGTACTTTGTTAGGAAGGGCAACGGTTATGTCGGGAGGTGATCGCAGCGGAATCACGCTCAGCATTCGAATTTTTCCCCTCAATTAATTGAATGATATAAAAGGTAGAATAATAGAAAAATATATAATAATTGAATAATATAGTAACAAAAAGCTTATAGGGATTCGTAATTAAAATAAATAACAGAGCAAGGTTAACCGAACCACAATACTGCCAAGATGAGAACAATATTTTAATTAGATTACATTTAAAAAAACTGTTTTTTACTAATCTATCTGTGATAAGAAAAAAACATATATTTAGTTATCATATTTATTGACAATAAAGTCAAGATAAAAAAAAAAAAAAAAAAAGAAACCAATGGTAGTTGTACTTGAATAATGTAGGTTTGCTACCGAACAATAAGAAACATAAATACAATTAAAAATTATGTATGTTTGCCATACTTATTGTTATTTACACTAGTATATTTTATGTTTCATACTTCTCACAATAGTTTACATTTTGTAAAACTTTGATTATACCATACTTTATACGACCGAAATGTTCATTAATTTAATTTTAAATATGCATAATAGCAAACGACTTTTCTTTGAATGAAAATGTTTCTCTTGTGACCAGCAAATAAAGCTATGCCATTTCTTTTGTATTCCGAGGCTGAAAAATTGAGCATGATCAACTAATAAATAATACACATTATTGATTCATTGGAACTAACAGAAACATACGCTCACTCTATGAAGCATCCTAACATCTGATTATTAGAAGTGGGTACAACAATTTCTTCATTAATATGATTTTTTTAAATAAATATAAATGTTTACATACAATATCCATTAAAACAAAAATCTATTTTGAATTAAATCAATTTTTTCATCAAACTAATAAATCTATATAATTGAATTTTTAATTTAAAATCAAAAGTAACAGTACTATATTAAAGTTAGTATCTAATAAAACAGCAAAAAAAGAAAAAAATGCTATTCATAGTACTTTTTTCAAAGTCCTAGGCTAAATTTTAAAAAAATTATACGTTTTCGTTCCCAAATAACCATTTCTTGCAGATTAAACAGTCTAGCTCGAAAACGACAATTCTGGCTTGCTTATTACTTTGAAAAAAATAGATAGGTAAGGTAAGAAGAAAAATTTTCCCTGGTTGAAAACAAAGTGAGGGTAATAGGATTAGTGATATATATATGTACACTATAATATATCGCTGGAAAAGTAAATATCCAAGAAAAAATAATATCTAACATCTGAAATCGTATGAGGTGACGAAATAAAAATATCACAAATAATTTCTAAAATTAATCACACAGAAACTTAATGAACATGTAAATTAAATAAAATTTCCAAACTAAATGGAAATCCTTACAATCATTAGTAAGTTTTACAAACCAAAAATATATTAAGCACCGTCGATCTGAAATTATTTAAGAGCTATTTTATCGTCCTTTTGGGAGAGAGGCATGAAAAAGTGCATATCGCAGTTACATGCAGTGTTGACGGGCTAAAAAAAAAGATGGCTATAATCCTTAATAGTTTTAAACAATTGACCTCTTTGAAGAGATTTTTAATTATTTAAGTAGTGCAGTTAAAGGAAATTTTGTGATGTTAAGCGCCACCAGGATTTTATAGTTGTATTAATAAGAAATGAACTAAATTCTAACAATAGCAGACATTATGTTGACCACATCCATTCATAAAATATAAATAAATTTAAGTCAAATGACATTGATTTTGTATGTTTCTCTCATATATGGGTGTAGCCTTGCAAGATTACGCAATCAATTAAACTTCAAAGAATCGCTTTATATTTTATCTTACTTCCGGAATATGAATAAATTGTCTAATATCATTGACAAGAAGAGCGTCGCTGTCAACTGTTCAAGGTTAAGGTTAGGAAGCAATGGCTCTAAAATTGTTACATTGTTCATGAACCAATTCAAAGTAAAGATAAGGTAAAAACAGACGTTTGATAGCCTCAGAAGAAAAACTCACCTTGACAATAATCTCAAACTTCTTGGTGAAGCTGGAATCCGCGGGCCTGACCTGGCGGACCGTGCCAGTGCTGGGGTTGATCTCGAAGTACTCCCGGAAGGAGGCCGGGCTGCCGGAGAGGAAGGAGTAGACGATGGGGGTGGCCAGGGTGTCCATGTCCACCGCCTGGATCTTCTCGGGGCTGATGGTCAGCACTCCGGCCAGCACTCCGCTCGATACCTTCACAATAAATATAATTATATAATAACTAAGAAGGATTTCTTATATCTGATGATCCTGAGCTGAAAGGACTGCTTACCGTGCTGTAGTACTCCGGGGTGACGCAGGATCCGTCGTGGAGGGTGCAGCCCTGGTAGATGAAGGACGGGTTCTGGTCATCGTCGTCCTTAATGTCCACCGTGAGGGTAGTCGTCGCCGACATTCTCGAGGTCTGGTTCCGAGCTCGGTCCTGCAACAATTAACGTTGTTCATCAAATATATTTATAAACAAGGAGTTCCGTAAGTGGAGAGAAATATTTAAAATGTTGATAGTAGACATCAAAATCTATAAAAATGTTTATATAAACAATTGCTCGATTTCCAGCAGAAAAGTAGGTAATTTAACATTCGTGTTTTTTTGTGTGAATTACGTATTTTGTTGAATAGGAAGCGATAAAGTAAAAAACTGTTGGATTTAAGCAACTAATCATTGCTCTATAGTAAACGAGACAAAATTTACTTTACAAGAAAGTGGAGTTTGTCATTGTTGAAACGATTTAAGAAGGAAGTCTCAAAGGCCACTAAGAAGATTGTCTTCAAGAATACCTTCCTCCCTGTATTAACATATGCAAGCAACACTCGGACCCTCACTTCAAAGCACAAAAGCCAAATCCAAGCTATGGAAATGTGATATTTAGGAAAAATAGAAGAGAAAACAGGGAAGAGATCGAGTTAGGAGTGTGACCATAAGACCTGAGGCCTGCAGAGGAAATAATCCAAGAAAACCAACTTAGGTGATTTGGACATGTCTCGCGAATGGCTTAAAACAGAGTTGCCAAGACTACCTACGAGGTCAAAGTGGAGGGAAGGCGGCCCACAGGGAAGACTAAGAAAAAGATGGAAGAAGGAATTAAACAAGCCGTTGACAGGAGAGGAATAGACTGGAGTAGAAGAAGACAGCTGGCCAAGGATAGAGATTCTTGGATCAAGCTCTATAAGGAGGAACCTCACACTGCTCAGCGGTAACAAAGAGGACTCGATTAAGTACAGTAAATAAGTAAGTAAAACTATTTAAAGAGGATATAATGTAATTGTTAGGGATAGAAATATTAAATTTGCCAATTATAAAAATGCATTAGTTCCTATGAAAGAAATCTGGGAGAAAAACACAATTCCATAACCACCTTACATAAATAATATTTGACAAATCATTATTTTTATTTTTATAAATAAAATATGCTTTTAGGCAATTATGCTTATTAAAATACATCCCATAACACGAGAAAACAGCAAATAAAAACTTTGCAACAGTTAATTGTAGTTATTTTTTCTGGAAACAGAGGTATTTTTAGATGATTGGATAGAAAAACACATCATTTATTTACACAACTTGAATGGTTGAATCTCAATTTTTTTTTCTAATAAACCACAAATTAATTAATATAGATTGAAAGCTTATTAAACGAGGAAGTTTTTTCTAAAAGTGAAGGAAATGTAGTACAGTTGAAGGGCGATATAAAGAAAGCACAAATAATTTATGTTTTTTAAAACAATAGAATTTAGCTAAGTTCAGCAGCACAAAAGTCCCTTTAAATAGTTTTAACTATGACAAACTCTACCTTCGTTTAATGTAAATTTTATCTAGTGTACTATGAAGCATTGTTTAATGACTTAAATCAAATATTTTTTCAAGTTATCGCTTCCTATTCAACAAAAACGAGACTCGCTTAAAAAAAACATAAATCTTAAATTTCCTACTTTTTTGCAAGAAATTGGGCAATTGTTTATATGAACTGTTTTGTAGATCTTGATGTCTACTATCAACCTTTTAAATATGTTCCTCTACTGACAGGACAACCTATATATATATATATATATATATATATATATATATATATATATATATATATATATTTTTTTAAATTTGTTTTATAGCTTCCTTGCTCGCCAATCTTACACTGACATAAACCTTAATATTGTGTCTTGAAAGTAAGACTAGTATTTAACTTAATAACTATCATTTTTTATAACTACACTACCGATTGGTAAGCAATGCTGCAAAGGCTGATCACAACATGACTATACTCAACTTAGCAAATCTGTGGTTATAGCTCGAGTAAAATCAATTGGTACTAAACTGAAACTAACATTTTGTTTTGTTTTTCTTAACAATACGATATTACTTAAACAATATTTATGAATATATACGTACATTAGAAAATTATAATATCATATTTCAATGTGTGTATTTATTTGAAAATATTTTGCAAGAGATATGAGAGAGGATTAGGGAATAAAACAATGTTACTTACAACTTGTGATACCTTGTATCTACAAAAATACTACTTTATATTATGGAGAAAAAAGTTATTGAAAATCTTCCATGTTATATACAATAAATAGTGCAAAACCACCATAAAAGTTAATCAATCATTTGATACAAGATACAAAGATTTACTACATCACACATCAGGTCATTGAAGGAGAGACCATTTCAGTTTTCATTTTTTATTCTACGTATTTAAATAGTTTAATCAACATATTTAAATAACAAAAAATCTGCGTTTTCTTAAAGAAATAATCATAAATTGAGTAATTGACAGCTTTAATATTTTAAATCAATACATTAATATATTATATTAATAATTATCCTTTTATGTTGAAGATAGTTTAGCAAGAAGAAGTATGAAATAAAATCTTGAGTTCAAGGTAAATAAGTACTCTTGAACTGAAGGCTTTTACGTCAATTCGAGGAAAACCGAGAAATCATTTACATTCATGAAGAAATCCAATTCTTGATGAATCCAGATGTTAGATAAGAGTTGAAAATAAATATCAGCTAATGCGGTGATTTGCAAACTTGTTTATTTTATTTTTTTCTAGTTGTAATTATTATTCCTTTCCTATTAACAATATGAAATATTCATTGATCTTTTTCAGTTTGCACTAAAATTTATTTTCTTGGATGGGGGTAAGTTGGTAAGTCATGAAGTATGTCAAGTTTTCAAATTTATAACCGGTTCCATTGCTACGACTAACGATTTGTTACATGCTAGTTAAAAACAAACCTCACGCTTCATACAAATTTCTATAATTTAAAAAAAAAAAAATGTGAATTCCTCAGTCATATAAATCATATGCAGTGAAATTGAATTAGCATGCTCCGTTGTTTCAGTTTCCAAGTACCGTCCAATGTTGGTTCACGCGTGAAATATATTCGCGTAGACATAATTATTATCGGTTAAGAGTTGTAATTGCTCAATGCCGTAATGAGGCTACGTGCTGAATAAATAAACAGTCCATCGAGGTTCTCTAATTTCAGCAATCTCGTAATTACAGGTGAGTGTTTATTTACTTTGGATCTATCCAGGTATTTTTGGTATGACTTTTTCCGGTTCATAAGGTTACTAATCAACATAATAGAATATGAAATTTGTTCACATTTATAATATCCCAAGAGTGTTGAAAGTGAATAAATAATATTAGAATATGCATTACATACATTTTGCTTGATTTTTTTAGAATAATATATTTTATTATTATCTTAGATAGTAATTTAGTGTAAGAAATGTATTGGTGCACTTTGCGAGACCAAGACCAAGATCCTCAAATTATTGCAAGACCAAGACCAAGACTGGTAAAAAAAAAAAATGATCTTTTGCATAACAATTAAGGCAAAATAGTTACTAATTCTTGACAATTTTAGTTACTGTAGGTAAAGAATTGGTATAACCAATATACTTTTGCATTTAACTCTTCTAATTTATCATTCTTGCCTGGTCAGGTTTCTCCTATCTAAAAAATTACAGTAATATCTCTATAGTAATAAGCTAATAGGTAACTAACTACAAGGCTTTTGCCTCGCATTAGGGCAACACTAAAGAAATGTATCATATATTTTTTGGTTTACGTTTCGTAGTTATGTCTCCATTTCAAGTTCATAGTACGAAGTTTAAGCTGAAGAAATATCTCTACATTGTAATTGTTATAATTTATTTTAGAAAGTGGCATAAAATAAAAGAATGACATTAATATTGTAACAGCAATATTGAGAAAGTTTTGAAAATGGATTACTTTACTTTGTACAAACAAAAAATATAAATTACATATAAAGAATGAAAATAATTTCTTTTTTAGTAAACATCATATTCGAAAATTTTGAATGTATTGTCAAATATGGAGTTTTATTAATCTAATATTATTGATAAATTATAAATTTTCAAAAAAGATAAGTACTATTACACACCAATCATTGTCGTGTTTAAGAGAGAAATAATTACAAAAAAGTGGTGGAGCGGACATGGAAGGGTTTCGATTGAAGCTTATTTCTGAAAAGGGATGTGAAAGTTAGAAGTTCGAGATCTTGTGGAGAGAGAGTGGATGGAGGACTTGAATTCGAGGTGAATGTATGAGCAGGACGGGCGATGATTATAAATTATTTGGCAAAGGAATATACTCAGGAAGTATTGTCTGAAGAAGGAGAAGAGCCACCGTAATTCAGTAGAATAGTGAGAAACACAGAAACGTATCGGTGTCCCATTGACGAATCTTATCTTTAGCTATCATCCGATATCAATGTTATAGGAAAAAAAAAATATAAGAACACTATGAATTCCTTTTTCTTATAACAAGAAGAGATAAATTTATAGATGTATTGAAAGTAGAGTTGTGACCAGTGAAAGAAAAGTGAAAAAAACACTAGGAAGGACAAGGTTTGTCAAGAGTAGCTGGGGACTTTTCTATTGCCGAGTACCAAATGATTAATAGTGTTGGCTTCACTAATGAGGACCGAGTTTTTGTTAAGGTTACGTAGTTCTTAATGTTGGCGTTCCAATCTTATCGCAGCTAAGCAGACGATGGTTAGCAACAGATCTCTTCCTGGGTGAAACAAAAAAATCCATCGATTTATGGTCCAAGATTTATTGATTACTGTCAAGGCGTGGGATAGGAGGTATAATTGGCAATGCCATGGAAAAATTATAAATAAAAAAAAAATTGGATTTTTATCCCTACTTTTTATAGTAATAATAATTCGAACAGTAACATGGTTCCCTGAACAAACGACAAAATAATATATGAATACGTAAATGTGATGTTTTATGAGAGGGAGGGATTAATTGTATTTTGCTAGGTAGAAAAATTATGAACCTAGACGTTCATAATTTTTAAATTGAACAAATATTGGTTAAAAATGATTTTTTTTTTTCGTTTTTAGTTAATCTGTTTTTTTTATTCTGTTGACATTACAGA